AAGATATTTTGGGATTTCCGACTAAATTTTTAGTTTACTTATGTGGAAAAGTACTTACTTCACCACCAGCCAAGTGGAGAAGAAATTTCTCCTCAAACTCACGGCAAAGCTCCAAAGCTATAGCCCTTGTACCTTCAGCACTGTTAACTAGTTGTTCTCCAAGCCTCGCTAGCTCAGCCTGCACCATTTGAGACTTACCCTGGAGTCTGTACAAAAAATTATAATGATCAAAACAAAAGGACGCCTTATAAGAGACAAGAAAGTAGCTCGGGAAATAAACATTTTGCCTGTCTTACAACTAAATGCGTATCTACATAACTTTAGTTACAATAATTATTGTCAAAGATTAATAGTTGAAACAACTGGTCCAACTTTCACTTTATCACATTAATGAAGAAAGAAAATATATATAGAGAGAAGCTATACCCAGACAGGATATTTGGAAGCCTGAGCTTCATTCTGCTACGTATCTGGCTAGCAAGGGTGTCTACTAACGCACTTCTGCCAAGCTTACTTTGTGGAGCCCCAGTCAAAAGTTTATTCAGTTTCTCACTCTCATCACGCCATGCGGTTTCTAAGGAGTTCTCACCACTTCCAGACTTTGCTGATGCAATTGAAACAGATTGGCCAATAAGAGCAACCCATGGGATGTCAGTCGTTTTTGGCGGTCCTTGATTTGAGAGAAGAGCCTGAACAGCTGCGAGGGATTTCGAGTTCCCTTCAGCCTGGTCAATTTTCGAAATTATGCCTACTGTCCTAGTGCCTAGTAAAGCAACAGCCATTTGTGAGAATAAAATATAAGAGAATTAAGAAAGCCAGATTGAAAACACTGATGTACTCACTCTCTGGATCATGCTCCTTCGCAATTTTCAGGGCTCGAGATGATGAAATTTCAGATGCCTCGCTAGCAGGGACAATAACCAGGAGTATGGCATCATTGTGGCGCGCATATTCAGCAATCTTGCAAAGAGATCCAAAAAAACAAACAAAATTATCAATAAGCAGTTAAAAGGCATACATTATAATGAATATATGTAAGCATTTCAGCAGCAAGTGCAAAGCTCACCATTGAATCATCCACAATTCTCTGGTCCAGTCCAGGCAGGTCAACTAATTTCAGTGGTGGAGCTGAAATATAAAGGGAAAAAGTAATATGTTATGATGATAAAAAAACATTAACAATAAGACAATGCAGGTCATATGTTACTACTCACGTTCAGAAGAGTACTACTTATTTTAAAGCTCCATTAGATATATTATATGATACCCACCAACTTACAGCTTCAAGCTCTAAAACAGTGCACTAGATTGTATATGGGATGGGGGTGGCAAGTTATTACATCTGACCAGTTCACTAATATCAAAAATATATATTCATTCACCCGACTTACATTAACTAATGATGGGCTACTTTAAGAGTAGATAGGCATGCCACTAATGATTGTGCAATTAAAAAAGGACTTACCTGTGCTGGTACGAAGTTTTAAGTATATCTCATCACGATTCTTCCCCGGGACTGCATTGCTAAGTCTATCTTGAAGACGACGTCTCAGACCACCTATAACATACCCGCGTAGAGCACAATAATAAATAGTCATGAGAAGGATGATCAAATGCGTTATCCTCAAATGCCATAGTTAAACTGTATATGTCAATAGAAGGATACTTACTTGCTGAAACGTCTTGACGTTTATTGTCGATTTGCATAATAATTGCCTTGCTGCTCAATGAACTCTCCCTGCTCAAATCAATTATTATAGGAGCTCGTGTAGCACCGTTCTCACCCGTTGGCTGTTCACCACAGTAAGTGTATCAATCACAACCAATCATAAGCATAAGCATAAGAATCTCAACATAGACTCAAAAATGTACTACTTACCAGAATAGAATGACCAATTAGACTGTTTAGAACCATAGACTTTCCAGCTCCCTGGTTAACCAGTAAACAAAGATACGTAACTTAGGTCAGCACAAGCTCTACACGATGAATGCGTCCTAGCGAAATCGTTCCAGGAAAATTCTATAAACCTAATCGAAGCTCAGAAGATCGCATCCGATATTAACCACAACTCAAACACAGCCTAAACAAAAGAGGGAGTTTAAGGAGCTCACCACATTCCCTAGGGCTACGACGTTAAGGAAAGTGGCTGTGCGTCGAGAAGAAGGCGTCTCATCGGGATCTTCGTCGGCGAGAAGAGACGCCGCCTGTTTCATCGAATCTGAGAGTTGCGACAACTCATCGATCGCTTCCATTATTACTTGCAATAAGCTACTCTTGAATCGAGATGAGAGTTAGAGAGATCACTAAAATCAGATCTGACGAGAACCGGAAATGACGGTTACAGGCGGCTTGAGATACGTTTTGAGCTAAAGGTACGTTTTGATCCGTCTCCGTCAGGAAGAGAGATGAGCGAAGAAGACGAGGTCCTTTTAAGAGAGGAATCTAAAAGACGACACGGGACAAGATTCAAATTTTCAAAATATCCAGATCCTTCTGATTTATTTATGATGGATATTCAGCTAAGATATGTTTTGTGCTTTTTTTTCTCTTTTTCCTCTTTAATACTCAAATCTAGTGTTAAGAATGTGTGCAAACATATTAATG